AGATTATTGCAGAAGCTTCTACTGGGTCTCCCTGCTTCTATTTTTACCTCCCTATGTCCTATTCTCCATAGAACAGAAAAATCATCATGCTCAGAGGCTTCCATTAACACCACATTTCACTCAAAGCCAAAGGCCTTACAATGGTCTAAGAAGCCCTTCCCCATCTGCTCCACCACACCCATCACCTCCCTGGTCTTATCTTCTGCTGCTCTCCCTCCTGCACACTCTGCTCCAATCACACCGGTCTCCTCCAGGTATTCACTCATCTTACCTTCTCAGTGAGGCCTTCCCCAGTCAGTGTGTTGTCTCAGATGACAACCCACCCTCGACCAGCACTCCATATCTCCCTTCTCCACTTTGTTTTTTTCCCTTAGCCTTTGCAGTGGTTTTAAAAAATATGATAAATTCTTTAATATTCTTCCCTTCAAAAGGTGGATGCTAATTCCTCTCCTCTTGCGTATGGGCTTTACCTAGTGACTCGCTTTTGACAAAAAGAATGTGGTGGAAGTGATGGGAGGTTGCTTCTAAGACTGGGTCATAAAAAGACATGTGGCTTCTCCTTGTGCACTCTCTTGCTCTTGGTTCACTTGTCCAGAGTTTGGAAGTCAGCTGCAATGTCACGAGGATGCTCAAGCAACTCTACGGAGAGGTCCATATGGAGAGGAACTGAGGCTTCCTGCCAACAGCCACAGGACTGAACCACATAGAAGCAGGTCCTCCTGCCCCAGTCAAGCCTTCAACTTACCGCAACCCCAGTCAATATCTTGACTGCAATCTCATGAGAGATCCTGAGCCAGAAACACCCAGCTATGCTGGTTCCAGATTCCTGACCCACAGTAACTAAGAAAATAAATTTTGTTGCTTTAAGTCTCTAAGTTTTGGGGTAATTTGTTACACAACAATAGACAACTAATAAAGCGCTTATCACCATCTACCCATATTATATATCGTATTTTACTATCTTGTTTACTGACTGTCTCCCACGAGGAATATAAGTTCTGTGAGGGCAGAGATGTTTGTCTGTGTTTTCATTACTGTGATCCCTGCACCTAAAGCAATTAAATGAATTAGTCATGTAATTTTAATAATGAATAAGGTGGATACCCATGGCTCCCATACATTAGCGGATCAGCAAAAATGCAACACTCAGACACACACTACAGTGGCAGCAAGAGTTTATGTCATTTGGGTAAAGGATGATTACACTGGGTCATAAAGCAGACACCTACCACAGATGTGTTGCCGGAATAATGACTACAAAGAGGCCCCTATTTTCCTACTGAATACTAAAGATGTGTTCTCACAGAAAAACAAAGCAGCCAGTAGATAATTTGTGAGTTGTTGGTTCTTCACCCAAGCAGAGAACAAAATCATCAGCAGAGCTTCCTACGACCACCAATGCCCAGACTCCACATCCCAAGATTCTAACTCAGGAGGCCCGGAGTCTATAGCATCTGCTATAGACTGAATATCTGTGTCCCTCCAAAATTTATATGTTTTAACGTAATCCCCAATGTGATGGTATTGGGAGGTGGGGGCTGTGTAAGTGATTAGGTCATGAGGGTGGAGCCCTCAAGAATGGATTAGTGCTCTTATAAGAAAGACCCCAGAGAGCTTCCTTGTCCCTTCCACCATGTGAGAACACAATGAGGAAGACGGCCAACTATGAATAGGGAGGTGGGTCCTCACCAGACACCGAATCTGCCAACACCTTGATCTTGGACTTTCCTGCCTCCAGAAGAGAGAAACAAATTTCTGTTGTTTATAAGGCACTCAGTCTATGGTATTTTTGTTATAGCAGACCAAACAGACTAAGTCTCTTTAGCCGCAAAAGAGTCCTCTAGATTATTCTAATATACAGCCAAGACTGAGAACCCCTTCACTGGGTGATAAATAACTAGAGAAGGTAGGCAAATCCACAGTCTACTAGTAGTGGCAGCTTTTCACAACAATTCAGCAACTCTGAATTCCCCTTATGCATTCATTTATGCATTCATTCACTTATTAATTATGTATTTATTTTTTGGGCACTGTGCTCGACTCTGGGGAAATGAGGAACCCAGTGGAGCTTAGGGTCCAGTGGGGGAAATCAGACTCTCACCCAAAGAGACATCCAACCCAGAAAGCCCATCATCAGCATCCTAGCCCCATCCCCACCTTTCCCAACATTCTCATCTTTCCCGACAGAGCTCAGACTCCCCCCAACACATACACCTTGGGCTGGAGATAGTTTGGGCTCACATCAGCAAAGAGACATGTGCTGGGCAGCAACTGACTGCAAGGAAGGGGCTGAGATCATCTACAGAGAATGAATAAGTGCAAAGGAGAGGAACTCTGAACTAACCCCAAGGAAGCCCAGACTTTAAGGACCGCCAGAGCGACAAGAGTGTGCAAAGGAGACTAAAATCAGCTTCCCTAGAGCTAAGAGGAAAGCCAAACAGTACAAAGTCCTTTTGTCAAAGACATGGCAGTTCCCAAGCAAGAAGAGCAGCCAAGTCTCACATCTCTGTGCCATGAAGGATGCCCAGCTTACTCAGGTTGTAAGCAAGGACTTGGGCCACAGAAGGGTTACCGAGGATCTGGTTAACAGCTAACAGAAACAGCCAGAGGTTTTTCAGATGAGGCTCCAGAGAAACAGGAAGAACACAACCTCAGAGATTGCCTACCAGACAGCTACTCCATTCCAGCTAAAACCAGGTCTAACTTCACTGAAGTGACCTGCCCTCATTAACATTTTAAACCCTCCTCCTCTGGGAGGGACAAAGCAGCCATTTTTAGATGATGTGGTGTATGTGGTAGCATGTGCATGTGCTTAAAAGAAGATGGCTGTTAGGCAATAAACCCCAATCTCCCACCTTTTCCTTAACTGAATATTCATGTGCTATACTCTCACCTGACAACAGAAGGACCCCTCAAGGCCCTGTTGGAGGAGGCACTGCTTTGGGAAAAAATCCCCAGTGTTCCCCATTGCTTGTGCAAGTAATAAACCTTTCCTCACCTACTTCTGCCTTGGTCACGCTTTTCAGCTCCACACTCACCAAGAAACGAACCCACTGAGTTTGGATATAAGATCAGTAAACATAACAGTCTGCAAAATGAGTTTCATGCAAACAAGGGATACCCCTATCCCATTAACTCTAATAGTCTATTTAAAATCTTCAACTAGCAGAGGTAGTGCACTGCTAGAAGATTGCTAGACCATTGTTCCAGTCCTGGTCTGCTATTAATTAACTTTGGAATCTCAAAAAATAATTTAAATTGCTTAAGGGTCTCTGTTCCCTCATTTATTAAGTAATAGTGTAGGAAAAAATAATCTTTAATTTTTGCAAGATTCACATTCTATTAAAAATTATGTATGTGAGGGGCCAGCCACATGGCGTAGTGGTTAAGTTCTGTACACTCCACTTGGGCAGCCTGGGTTCACAGCCTGGGTTCATAGCTTGTCAGCTATGCTGTGGCAGTGACCCACATATAAAGAGGAGGAAGAATGGCACAGATGTTAGCTCAGGGCTAATTTTCCACAAGCAAATAAAAGAGGAAGATTGGCAACAGAAGTTAGCTCAGGGCACATCTTCCTTGAGAAAAAAAGATATATATATATATATGCGAAATATGTGCATATGAGTAAAAAGCCATTATCCAATATTGTTCTCCAAGAAATGCAGAGCACTGTGTGTTTTAGAGAGACTGTAACTTGACTTTCTTGGTAAGGGAAGTAAACACTGGTGGGCATATGCTAATTTCCAGAGTAGTAGTTGACAGTGTTATCGTTCATTTGGAAAGTATTTCAATACCAATTAGATGAGTTAGAGCAAACATCCCCAGGCATTCTAGCAGTACCAGAGGATTGTCAGAGTCCCAGATTAGGCCCAGGAGTTCATCTGGGTTATGCAATGCCCTGGGCTTCTAGGCAACAGACAACACGGAGTGTTTACCCTCCCACCTGGCTGTGCACCGGCTCCTCCTGGTTCAGGGAGGGTGTCTGAGGTCTACAGACCCACACAGACAGTCCGGCGTGGCAGCTCTCCACCTCCAGGCTTGGCGTAGGCAGGAGCACGATTGATGAGGCAGCAGGTGGCGAGCTGATGACCGTGGGAGGTTCTATCTCCTTTTTCCCTCTGCCAATTAACTCTCAAGCAGGAACCATTTTAAAGAAAGATTTCCATCCCTCACTCCACTCCTTCTGGGGGGAAAGAATTAGAGATTCAGAAAAGCAAGGGCAAGATGGGGACCAGGAAGAGTCACTCCCACCTCTTTCCAAAGCAAGCTTTCTCAACCGTTGACATTTGGGGCCTCTGTTGTGGGGCTGCCTTGTGCATTGCAGGATGTTTCATCCCTGGCCTGTACCCACAAGATGCCAGCAGCACCCCTCTCCACAGCTGTGACAATGAAAAATGTTTCCCGACATTCCCAAATGTCCCCAAAATTGCCCCCATTGAGAACCACTACTCAAAGAATGCTCCCCCCATTAAAATGCCCCAGACAAACCAGACTGACTGAATGCAGCATCGCCCAGCCTCCACAGCGATGCTTCGGTTAACACTCCCTGCGTAAACTATGCTGGTCATGCAACTTAAAAAGTACCAGACCCTCCACGGACAACCCCACCCTGCTCCATTCTGAAATCCTGCCTCTGGAGATGGAAAGCTCCAGCTGACGGTGTGCCCTCTGGTAAACCCCCAGCACGAGGTCAGCCTTCTGTTCCCAGCCTCTGCTCCTCACCCCAGCCACTCTGGCTGGAACGTCCACGTGCCTCCCAAGAACAACATGTATCTGGAAGTCAGTCCTTGTGAAAGAGAGAAAAAGAAGGGGCCAGCGATCAGAACACCCGGGTTGGAGCCCCACCTGTGTCACTCACTGGCTGTGAGACCCGGAGCCAACACTTAAGCTTTATGAGGCTGTTTATTCACCTGCAGAATGAGAGCAATACCGTCCGCTTGCCTTTCTCGACGCATCACTGTGAGCTCAAATACAAGGCCTGTGACACCCGGAAAGCACGCTACGATGGTTAGGAATGAGTTTACTGCTGTCTGTGGGCACGGCTGTTGTCATTCCAGCATCCCATCTCTGTGGTAGCCACACTCCACGGAAGGGATTTGAGGACACACGGAAAGACTAGTCTTCTTGCATTCTAGTGCTGTCTTGACCGGAAGTCCTCTCTGCGCACTTCTCCAAAAACGGGAGACACGGCCAAGCCATTTCGTTGTAAAGATTGTCCCTCAATTCTGACAAATGACAACAAATATTGATTTAAACCCACTATGTACCTTTAGAAGACATCAGTGAATAAAACAGACCAGGATCCCTGCCCTCCAAAGGCTTGTTTTTTTAAAATGGGGGAGGGAGGAATAAAAGCAATAAACAAATAAAAAAAATCATAAAAACGTAAATTCCACGGTACGTTAAAAGCTGATAAATGCTGTGAAGGGAAATGTGGGCAAAGGGCCTGGTGCCGACCTGTGTGTCAGAGTGAAGGCAGGTTGCCATTTATACGGGGCATCCCGGTTGAGAAGTGAAATATGGGCAACAGTGAGTGGTCAGCCGTGCAGCTATGGGGAAGAGCATTCCAGGTGCAGAGAACAGCCAGTGGAAGGGCTGGCACTCTGAGTATGCCTGGTGCATTCGAACATCAGCAAGGGGAGACCATCATGACAGGAGCAAGGTGAGAGAGTGGAAAGGAGGAAGTTAGTTCAGACGGGTGGGAGGGTGGAGCTGAGGCACTTGATGAATGTGGAGGGAGCTCTACTCCATGCCAGCCGCTCGGTCCATGGCCAGCAACTCGCCAGGGGGGTCTGATCCCAGAAGAGAGGGACAAAGGGCTCTGAGAGAGCATACCTAAATTCTCAGCCTTATTCAGGACTAGTCTATAATGAATGAGGGGGTCAGCGGTCCAGGTCCTCGTTCTTCTTTCACGGACAGATTGCTCAGCATCTCAGATGCTCTCTATGCCAACACCCCACCACAGCCATCACCAGGAAATGGTGAACTCTCCTGTCCACGGACCCACTAAGGGACCCACTAGTGACCCACTAAGAAAGGGGAACATTCACCTCAGGTCGTTTCCCCTGTTCTTCAGTAGATGCTCAGATTGGTCAAGCATGGATGACACAGGGTCTGGCTCAGGAGAACAAGAGGCCACGAGCGCAAGTTTGCCTTTATGATGTCAGTCTGCTAACTCCTACGCATCACCCCTGGGCAGGATCTGAAGGGGGACTGTGCACCCCCCCACCGCCGATGGGCTGCCAGCAGCTCATTCCCAGCCCACCTCATTTCTCCCCACTCCCGCAGGCCCCCCAGGAGCAAGCCAGGGTCTTCCACTGTCTCTTCCCCGCCGGATGCAGCTGTCTCAACCTCGCCTCGTCTTTCCCAAGTTATTTGCGAAAGAGGCGGCTGCAGGAGCACACACAGCTGGCTCTGTGCCCGAGGGAGAGGCAGGCTAAAGCAGCGGGGGGGCGCGCCTCTCCCAATAAAAATTAATGGAACAAAGCCCCCTGGGTGCCGCATGAGTTTCAGCTCCCAGGGAGCTTTCATCTCTCACCAAGCCCCCTTCTGGGCTCTCCTGTCCCCTGGGTGTCTTTGGTGTAGGTCAGGACCCTTCCTTAGAGGGAAAGGGGCCAGGAGTAAATCAGGCCGAGGGCTCACACACACACACATGCACACACGTGCTCATGTATACACACGTGCACATGCACACTCACACACGTGCACAAACGTTTTGCATATCCATGAACCTCTTAGGTTTTTATTTGTAACAAGTGAAATCATTGGCAATCTCCTGGGGGGGTGGGAGGGGTATCACACCATGAGGGCAGCAGGAAGGAATTACATAGAAAGACATGAGGAAGCCCGCTAGGAGTTTGCAAAAAACTTCAGAGCCTCCAGTTTCCTCTTTATTTTTGTTTGGCTTGGTTTTGGTTTGTTTTCATAGACCAGCCCTCCACGAGCACATTTTTCTCGTGAGGGATTCAGGGCAGCAGGCTTCTGTACAGAGCGTGGCATACAAGTAGCCTTGGCCCTCTTGGCTCCCACGCTTCCTGCCTCAGAGGTTGTGCTGGATTATTCTACTGTCAACTTGGTTACTCTGGGAACCCTAAATCCTGGAATCCCCTTCCCCGTATGGATCTGGGTGAGAGTCAGCCAAAAGTGAAGATTCAGGAGGAGCCATTCTGTTCTGCAGGCTGCATTGGTCAAAGGCATCAGGAGACAGAGTCGAGGCGCTAGCCAGCTCCAGCTTGTCACCGTTCTATCCTCCTCATCTCCAGCCCACCTTCCCATCTGCCAGTCCACTGAGCAGCAGTCGCTCCAGGGAAGCTCCAGATGCTTCACTGAAAAGTCACAGCTACGGAGGCACAATGAGTCAACAGCCTGCCACCGTCCCCCTCTGCAGCCCCACTCCAGCAGCTACACAGGCTTCCAGAACCTTCCACTCCCCTCTTTGGCTCAGCTCCTCCCACAGTTGTGTAAGGACTAATTCCTAGAATAAATTTCTTATTCCATGATTCTCTGTGTTTTCGCTTCCCTGATAACTGACTGACACAGTTGTCACAGTATGATAGGCTTCAGTCCTTTCTCTATACAAAGGTACAGACCCACACATCTCTCTGCTTTTTTTCCTCCTTTTTCCTTAAATGGAATCATCTCAGTGATTTCTGTGGCAAGACATATAAATCAACCTCACTCTTTTTCATGGCTATGTAGTATTCCATCACATGTACGATTTATTTAACCATCCCCATATTGGTACATATTTAAGGTGCATCCAATTTTCCACCCTGGCTGAAAAAATGCTATAGTGGCATTTCTAGACGTGTCTCTTTATACATATTATGCAAATTTACTTTAGGGTGGATTTCTGGAGCTGGAATAATCAGGTAAATACAATTTTAATTTCTATGGTTATTACCAGATTACCTTCCAAAGGCTTCTTTCTCCAAAATGTTCCTGCTCTGCCAGCATCTTTGGCCTGTTCACTAAACAGGACTCTGCACTCTGGTTTCCCCGGGGATCCCGGCCTAACGGTGCTCTGCCTGGGGGGCAGAGGGCGGTGGTCTTTGGAAGCAGGGATGGGGACATTGGGAAGCAAGAGGTATGGTCACGGCGAGCATCACGCTTAGAAGAAATACACAACTAGCTGGTTAAAGACTAAAAGAAGACAAACAAGGAGAACAGGCATCTCCATGAAATGAGCAGGAGGAGAGTACACTAGGAGAATGAGAAAACTCTTTCTTCACATGATTTTAGAGATTTCCTAGCTTCCTCCAAATTACTGCCCTTGTGTCCATGGAGACACGTGTGCATATGCATACACACACACACGCACACAGGCACACACACATGCACACACTTCAGAATCTGCTGCTGAAGCTTAAAAACCTCTTTAAATATTTTCTTCCTCCAAATAGAGCTAAGGTTCCAATTTTAAAAACCCATATCAATAAGCAGTAGTTACGTGTGAGGATCTTTGCCAAATATTTTACACGCTTTATGTCATCGGAGGTAGATGTTATTCTCATTTTTACAGATAGGAAAACTAAGGTTCAGGAAAGTGAAGACAAAAAACCAGTGAGTTGCAGAGTAAGGATTTGAACTCAGCTCCACGTGACCAGACAACATTTAGCCGCTGCAGCACCTGCCCAGCGGAAGGTGACGAAGTCCTTTCACTTCACAGGAAGGGGTAGACAACTTCTGCTGTGCTCTTTCCTGAGAGCAGCATTTTCTGGAGGAAAGGACCCTGGGTGTTGGCAAAGGCCAATTAGAGAGAGGAGAGAAGTGGAGACAGAAGACGCTGAGGGTATAAATCCAAGTTATTTACTTTCTGAGCCAGTGAGAAGGAGACAGAGCCAGATTTGCTCTGAGAGGAAAGGGGAAGATGCCCAGCACAGGAAGACAGTTGGTGTTCCCAGTCAGGGCGACTCCACCAGATTCTGATGATAAGAGAAGGCAGGACACTGGCAGCAGGGGGAAGGAGTCAATTCCCCGGTGCCCCTCCTCCTCGAATTTTCCTCTTGCTCCGGTGTCCATGGGCCTACCCTGTGACAGTTGATTCCATACTATAAAATGATTTAATCCCCACACAATTCGATGATTTGGGGGACCAATGACCTTGGAATAAGAGGTAGGGAAGGGGGTGACGGGTGAGGAGGTGCAAGCTCGGGGTCAGTTGAGGGCAGCCTGCAGGGTTGTCGGCGAGACTGGCTCTAGAAAAGTGACATGGAAGAGAGGCTTCGTAGGAAGTACAAAGGATGCTGTAGGGAAGTCCCAGGGGAAATGCAGCATACATGTGCAGAGCTGACAAACAATGGTGTGACAGGAGCCAGGGGACAGCAAGATTCCAGTGGCGCAGAAGCTGTGCAAATTCCTGAGAGCCACAGGTCCCAAGGGGGCCAGGTCCCAAACACAGAGCATGCCACAGTCCTTTAGGAGGTCTCCCCCTGTTCCTCGGTCTGAAAAATAAATTGTTCCAGAGAGCTCTCAGCACTCTGGGAAGCCCTGCCCATCTCAAGATAATAACGAACCATGCCCCTGGGAATCAGAGACTCAGGGAGAAGAAGAGAAACAAGAGCAGACAGACGCTGCACACTGTGCCTGGAAGGACCGGCAGCAGCGCCAGCATGTGGGGCAGGGGGCTCAGCAGCGCACTGCTGGGGAGGTGGGGATGAAGATGGCTGGTGGTAGGTTTAACTGGGTGCCCATCGGCTGCTGCCCACCCCGGGTCCCAACAGAGGAAGAGCTGCTCGGTGTGACAACTGCCCCTCATCTCTGCAGAGCCTGTCGGAGAGATGAACCTGTAGAGACGAGCTCTCCAGCCACAGCTATGGCGGCTCGTGCTAAGCTCAGAGTACAAGGTGGTGATGGGGGCCAGGCCTGGTGGAATAGAGAACGTTCAGGATGGTGCTATTTATTATACTGGAAGCTTGAAAGCCACCTAAACAGAACTGTGTGTATCTAAGTAATGGTACAGCACAGGATGGAATAGTATACAGCCATGAAGAACGGTGCTTATGAAGACTAAATAGCAATACGGAAAGTTATCGTAATGTACAACATCTACTGACGATGATAAATACGCTCTTTATTCAGGTGGATAAACAGTCGAAGAGAAGATCTGAATCAGCAGCAGTCCTAACGCTGGGGGTCATGGGTGCTCTTCTCCCTCTCTCTACTCTGTACATCTCCTGTCAGTTGATAGGCTGGTTTTACAATGATGTCAAAGGAAAGGAAGGAAAGGGGGCTGGCTGTGAACTGAGGTGTCAGTGGTGAACCTAGGTCACCACACAGTGTTGGTCCAGAGTGAGTGTGAGAACCAGATCCCCCACACACACAACAGGAACACACACGCCATGCACACAACACACCCACATACCATAACACAACACATCCATGTACCACATACACCATCCACACGTAGCCCGCAGATACACCACACTCAACACACACGTGACTCACTCACTACACACCATGCACACCACACACATACCAAATACACAGGACACACACCATACACACACAACACACACATACCATGCATGCATCATACACATACCGCACACACACACACACACAGGGGCACACTCATGTGCTTCTCTTTCCATGTGCATTTCACATCGTATCAAAAGTAGTTGATGAAAGGCTTTGTTCTCAGGGTTTCCGGTTAGCTGGGCAGTGGAGGTGGCTCTCTTCTGCCCTCCCAGGGGACTGAAGTTTGCTCTTGAGGCACAGCGTACCATGAGCCACATGAGAGCTCTAAACCAGTCCCCGCTCCACAGACTCCATTTACAGAGAGCAACACCCTGGACCTGCCAATAGATCCGATGCCTGGTGAGAATGGTGATGGAAACCTCCAGAAAAGCCACATGCTTTGTTTGGGAAAGCCCAGCCCTCACCCATGCCATGGAGGACAACACTCCCTCTTGTTTCTCTCGCACAGACTGGCTCTCGCAGCTTTCTTTACTCCAGGAAGGTGTGCTGACACACGTGCAGTCGGTCCATAATGGGAGTCTCATTTACGATGCTGGTATCGGCCTTGCTGGAGTCTTCCAGCGTGCAACATTAGGCACGGTACATTGCGTGTATATAAATCAAATTAACATACACTGTCACTGCCTGGTTGAGCAGCTGTAGTCTTTGTGTTAAATTTCATAGTT